CCTGTTTGATAGCGAGCCTATTCCCATATGTTTCTTCTTCGTTTAGCAATAAAGTCTCTGATCGAGCAATAATAATGATAAACAGCACTCATAGGAGGATTTTCGTTTGATTGGCTCATGTAAATCAATTGCCCGGGTAATTGTTTATGCATTTTAGAGTACATAACGTGTCACTAATAAAAAATTGCCGCAAAAGTCATCTTATCTCTGAGGTATCGTTTAAATTCATTATACAGAAGAATCTAAAAAAATTCTGCCTCCTGACCTACTTTGTTTAGAAAACAAAATATATACAACCGTATGAATTACAATGTAGTGTGAATGCGATATGTTTTTGCAAAACATGTTTTATTACGTAAGATTTAAATAAATTTTTACTACTAACGTTTAATTTTAATAAGTCCAAGCTTTTTAGAATAGATCCGTTTAATGTTTGAGTTTGGACAGTTTTTGTAGTATACTTGGACTTGTCAACTATAAATTATAGTTAATGCCTTGTAGGTTCTTTAATGAGTTAATGTTTATTAGTAATAAATGTCATATTTACCCACTTTACATGTATATATCTATTTTCTAAATATATGTGATAAATTCTTTTGCATGTATTTATGAGTTTGTAAGTTTTATATAAAGTTTTTTTTATTTTAAATCAGTATTAGAATGATAAATTTTTTAAAAATTATATAATTTGATTGTGAGAAATCAAATGTTTTTCTATTAATGTATAATTAGTTAATATTAATGGATAGGACTTTGCCTTCTGTACTACCAGTAGTATAATTAAAAAAATAGTTTAAATTTTAAATTATTTATCTAAAAAGTTTATATATATATAATCTAATAAATAGTTATATATAATTTTTCAATTTTTTTATATTATTAATAAAGTTATTAAAAAAAATTTATTTTAAATTGTTAATTTTTGCAATACACTATTTATAAAAAATTTTAATCTTAAATAATTAAATAATTTTATAGAATACTCAGTGTCTCTATTATAAAATTATTAATATCTCAAAATTTGACTAGGTAACCCTGTTATGTAACATAAGCAAAAATGTTTTTCTCGCAATTTTACTTTACTCTAACCCTAACCCTAATCCTAATTTATATTGCAGGCTTAATTTTGCTATAAAGCACAAAGTGCCTGAGGCACTGTTTAGATTTTTCCAATTTTATAAACTAAAGTTTAATTATATAAAAAAGGTTTAGAGCTTTATAATAATTAAAAAATTATTATTAGTTATAATAAAAATATAACTTACATTATAAGCTATATTGTATAATTATTACTATATTTAGTAATTTATATAAGCTCTATAATTTTAACTATGATTTAAAGCTTTTTTTATTAAATAAGTTTTTTTATGTAAAATTTATATCCATTCAACTTTATAAATATATGGTAGACAATACAATTTTTTTATAATAATACTGTTTACACTTTCTAATAATTAAATTTTAGTTGACAAAGTCAAATTAAGTTTTGATTAACATTTGAATTTCATATAACAACTATACTAGGTATTAATTATAACCTTTTTATTATTGAAGCACTTATTTATCTTTATAAATATTTCATTTTCATTAACACAAAGTAAAAATTAGTCAACATCTTATAAATTATATTGTTTTGAAAATTATAATGCATATTACTTATAGATATTAGATAAAAAATCAAATTAAAATTGAGATTGAGATTGTTAGAAAGTCCTTAAAATATAAAAATATATATTTGGAATTTGATTATCTATTCTAAACTTATTTTTAGAATATTTTTTAGAATCGCACTTACTCTATATATCATACTTTAGTTTATAAATACTGCTGGTTCTTTAGAGATTAAACAGTTCTCAGACAAAGTCCTTGAATTAACTGGTAAGAACTCGAATGGCTCATCCTTTGACTATGTTATCTTTATGTATACTTCGATTTTGAACTGATCTTTGAACTTGGTCCTTTATAAATTCAAGAACCTGCTTTTATTTGTAATAGAAGTAAACTTTATTTGGCAAGAAGGCTCACCTTGGTAAATGTTTGTTTATACCATGCCGTTAATTAAAATTGTCTATAACCCATTTTGAATAAGTATAGTATGATTTACAAAAGTTAAAGACTCTAAATGATGATTCAAGAGATGTTAACTATCTCTAGTACAAAAGAAAATGTAGTAAACATATAAAACTTGATTTATTATGTATCTATCAATAAAATTTAACTACAATATTTTTAGCAGTAATACCTCGCTCTATTTATCTAGTGGTCAATTAAATTTTAAATCAATTAATCAATTGACCATACTTTATTATCAATATTTGACTCTTGTACTTCATTAATAAACTTATCATTTTCTTTATTACAATTGGTGGTTGACTTAACTTCGATCCAACCATTTTCAAACATTCCATTTGGAAAAGTTTCTTTAATTTTACATTCAACGTCTATAATTTTTAAAGTATATTCTCTCCACCAAGTAGTCATACTTCTTCCAACCAAATGCAATTGAAAGGAGGGTAATCTGTCAAGATATCTGTTGAATGTAAATAGATATTATTAGATATTAGAATTATTAAATTTCGTAAATATTAAAAATATTACCAATTAATAACAAGACTTACCTAAACAATTGACCAATCCCTATACCTTTGTTCACAATCAAATCTACAATCTCACTA